ATTTTATACATTCGTACTAAAAAATGACATCTGACAAAATACAAATCTACAAGTGTCGAGTCAATATGTTTGTCGAATTTTGACCTGACCATATATGGAAAGTCACGGAAACTTACGATTGGTAGGCGGTAAATCTAGTACAACCAGATGCTGAAAGTCCCGGTGTAATTCTAGTAACTGTCCTAAAATACCTTGCAGGCACATATTTACCAGAGATGATAATTGTGTTATTTGAAAAAACTAGATACGTACCAACATTTTTCTTGGAGGGGGGGGGGGGTATTTTTCTTAGTACATGTATTATATGTATTATGTATTTTTTCAATGGAAGATTTTCCAGTTTTCGAATATACTCCAACAAAAAGCGGGGAAGCCAAGCAAGGTTTAAGGTTTTCAGTGCGTTTCATTTATTATGATTTTACACTTCTATAGCTTTAGTCACACAGGAATCCCAAACTACAAAATTAAACCGCCCCAAGATAATGCAATTTAATATATTTTATCTCAACAAATATGATTATTTTAAATGAACGCAAATATCATCTCTGGTAAATAAAATATGTGCCTGCAAAGTATTAAGGAAACAAAAATCTTCAAAAATTATACCGGAATTTTTAGCATCCGACTGTACTAGATTTACCGCCTACCAATCGTAAGTTTCCATAACTTTTCATTTATGGTCATGTCAAAATTCGATAAACATGTTGACTCGAAACTTGTAGATTTGTATTTTGTCAGATGTCATTTTTGTAGTACGAAATGTCAGTCGCATCATCTAGGGTCTTTCCGTCAGTGGTCGGAAAGGCCTGAGAAGTTTCGATTGGTACGAATGTGTAAAATACGGACTCATGAACGGGAGCATAACAAAATGAAATGATACAGATTTGGATTTTCACAATAACTTAACTCAAAATTTGACAGTTCAAAGATTTACATACAACGTGTGAAGTATGGTAAGGAAACGTCAAGAATTACACGGTACAGTGTTCGAGTTAAGAGTTTGAGATCAACAAATTACAATTGTAGAGATACAGGTATACGATTTTCAAGCAAACAAATTGTGAATTTACACGTCTGGATTTTTGAACACGATTACTTGTACCCTCTATACTTCCTTGGGTACCAACAATTTTGACCCTTTGACCTTGGAGTTTGATCTACTTTTGAAAACCTTTAACCTTGGCCATAATTTTGAACAGTTGGTGCTAGGGCTTTCATATTTCCAAAGTGTAATTCTTGTGACAAGACTTTTCCTTGGGTACCAAAAATTTTGACCGTTTGACCTTGACCTTGGAGTTTAACCTACTTTTGAAAAAAAATTGACCTTTGCCATAACTTTTGAACAGTTGGTGCTTTCATATTTCACATGTGTATATTTTGTGATAAGACCTTCCCTGGGTATCAACAGTTTTTACCTTTGTCCTTGACCTTGATGTTTGACCTACTTTTGAAAAACTTAAAACTTTAACCTTATCCACAACTTCAGGATGGTTAGTGCTACGGCTTTCATATTTTACATGTGTATTTCTTATGACAAGAACATTCATTGGGTAACAATAATTTTGACCATTTGACCTTGACCTTAGAGTTTGACTTACTTTTGAAAAACTTTAACCTACGCCATAGCTTTTCAACGGTTAGTGCTAGGGCTTTCGTATTTCACAGGTTTATTGCTTCAAACAAGACCTTTTTTTGGTACCAACATTTTTGATCTCTCGACCTCGGAGTTTGGCTTGCACCTGAAAATTTTAACCTCTGCCATAAGCTGCTTTACGGGGGCATCAGTGTTTCACAAACATATCTTGTTGTTCCCGTACAAAGCTACGCTGAGAATTCAAAATAGCTAAAAAAAAAAAATAAATTATCTTTTAGCCCCGTTGCCATGAAAAAAATCCATAGCAACTAAATCAATTAAACATGTATATTAGTTTAAGTTTGCAAGATAAAGGCCTATTTATGCACGAGGTTCATGATCATGTGTCCCCAAAAAGTTTAAGTGTTTAGAATTACATGTACTCCAAGATAAATACCGTAACTATAGTTTACACTTCTTAAACTATAGCTAAAATTGATAAATTAATCAACTGAAAATTCTTGCTGAGGTCATATTTGTAAATTTTGAATAAACATCATCAATTTTGCCTTTCAATCATACAAAGTAAGTTTTCCACAACAGAGAGAAAAGCATAACCCGCTAAACCATTGACATGTTATGAATAAACATGCATTGTAGCACTATTCTTGATAATTTATTTAATTCTAATAAATCAAACTAGAGGAAATTTTCAAGTTGCTACTGCGGTAAATAGTATGATGGACACGAAAAACGCGTTCATTTTGGTGTAAACACTACGTACCTTCTCGTCTCATTCAATATTTATGTACAATCCAATCAGTAATTACAAATGTTAAATAATTATAGATGGTTACTGATGATTAAATTGTTCATTATTAATGAAATTATAAACGAGGAAGAGAATATACTTAATGTTATTAAAGAGGAAAGCTTTATTCAACGTGTATCTTATATATCCTGTTATCAACATGTCGACATCAATCTCAGATACACTTAAGACGAAGTGTGGTGAACTGACGAACACCTAAAATGGTCCCTACCTAGGGATGATTCAAATCAGTGAGATAGATTATAATTAAACATACACGATGCCGATTCTCAATGTTTTATTCATATTTCGTAAAAACATGTATTGCATATAATTGATGTAACAATACCTATTTCACAGAGAATGTTATTTATTAATTTTTATCCAAAATAAAAAAAAATATAAATCTCTCTTTAAAAAGTTCCTTTTCTTTTATCCAAGAATAATATGTTAAAAAGAGGGAGGATGGGGAGGGGATTGATACTTAAGGAAACTAATCTAGACCCAACACAGTGATTTATTTTGGTGAATGATGATGTTGATCGGAATCGTAATCAAATGTCATCGAGTTAGCCTTCCAGCAATTCTCAATAATACATTTTGAAATTTACTTTAAGTTTAATCTAATTCTGGTGATCAAAAATCGTATGACAAAGTTACAAAACTGCTAAGATAAACCAATGTTTTATCTTCTAGTTCTGTTCCTATTTTGAGAAGTCATTATGATAATACCTATACGAGTAGCCTTCTTCAACGAATTCATAAAACCGATAACGGTTTTATCGCTCCAATGACTTCCTCAAAGAGAATTCAATTTTTTATTCCAAAGGTATTCTGTGGTAAATTTATATAGATGCAAACAGTGAAAGAGATTTGTGGAGGATACCGATTAAAACATTCATACACACATCTTCAGACGTATCATGGCTGTAGCTGCATATCAAATGTAGGGTGAACAGGTTTCCTTGTACATGTAGGTCAATTGCCATTAGTTTTCACAGTTTTATGAAATGATTTTTCAAAACAAACATAATGACAAAAATATCATTATGAAAGTTAATTTGCCAAAGCTACAACTAAGAAAAATTATCTTTGTTTGAAAAAATAATCCAATAATTATAATTTGTATTACATTTACACTCTACATGTACAAATGAAAGAAAAGGGCAGTTACAATTAGTATTGCTTATTCCCCCTCCCCCTTTTCCTCTTCATCATAATGCTCGCAGAATTTTCCTTACTTTTTACTATGAACATGACACAAATTAGTTTTAGAATTTATAACTGCAGACCGCATGAAGTAAAGTAATGCCATCTTTTTTATATTTATTGGACTTGTTCAGTGCATGTGCACATCTTTTTTTTCTGAAACAAAATGTTAGAATCGCTCTTTTTGTGTCCATTTTTTCGAAAATGGTAATCGGGGTATTTTGAAATGAAATACATACATGTACATGTACACACTGCCTGCATAATTACTTTCTAATTAATTTCTTTCCAATCTCTCATGAATCAAAATAGTTTTTCAAAAGTTTAAATGAACTCTCTCTTCAGAAATCCTTTTTAACTATGGTTAGGGACGTGCATTTCAGAGCTCCCCGGTCTGACCATACGAAATCAATGTTATCAGTCCAGGCGCCGACAAGTGTGAAAACAGAATAAAGCAACCCTGTCAATTTGTTGACCGACAAAGGGCATATCAATCTGAAACCTCTCATTCCAATATACGGAAGATATATTGCGGGCTTCGCCAATACGAAGCTTGGAAGCAGGATTTGTCGGGCTTTTTGCTTCTTTTTTTAATGACGTTCAAACCACCTGAACGATACAGATGTTCTGATTGAAATCAATGACAGCTAAATGTTTACTACAAATATAAATTTGGTCGGTGAGAGCAATGAACCTGATGAATCAAGTACATGTATTAAATGCAAGATTTTATCGCTAAAAACATAGTTCTAGTATAAAGAAGGGGGAATTCTATTAAAGTATTTTAGAGAGAAAGATAGAGAGAGAGAGAGAGAGAGACGAATGAATCAATATTACGGTTGCGTACTTGTCATACCAGAAGATTTGATTATCAATTAGGACCCTTTCGCCATTTTCAACGGCGACTCATAATTACTGCAGATCGCTGACAAATTGGACACGACTAAAACCTGTGATTTTATTGAATTTTACTATTGTTCGGACCGCCTTTTTATTGGTAGCTTCAGACTGCTGTAGAGGAACTTTTCATAAATCGGCTCTTACATGCAAATCTATATAATATACACACAGATAGAGAAATATCCATCCGTGTAACAATATACACCTCTCTATTGTTCAATCCTGAAATATTAATAAGAGTCGGGATTGATTTTACAATATATATCTTAATCAAATATTTCATTAGAATTAATGTGTGTTTCCCTCTCAATAAAGTCGAATTAACAAACCGCCTTCCTCACCTCTATGTCCACTCCACAGCAGGCCAGTGTGTTTGTGGCTTCCACTTGGGTTTGTATTGTTTATTTAATTTAATGCCTGTATTTTGTCAGAAGTTTCATACCAAATGAATAGAAAAAAACAGAATAGAAATTCGACTCGTTCATCCTCCACTCAACAGGATATTGGTAAAGATCTGCTATTGCTGGTAGCTCATTTCATATCATTTGACTGGAAAAACAGGCGTATTGTAAAATTTTACTGGAGCAAAAAATACTAAACTTACCTCTTCATAATTCATCTCGCACAAAACTTCATTTTCTACATGAATGGGCGGAATTTAATAATTTACGACACTTTTTACAAAAGTTAAATCGATTCGGAACTAAGGAGGCAGTGTTACATGACTCGTGCATCTTGCTTCGGTAATTAGCGAGTGAGATAATCAGACGTATTACCTGGGGCCGGCTGAATCGGGGGGACACGGCGGACGGAAATCTGAACCAACAACTGGATGCTATCTCCGACATGGTGAAAGAAAATCATTATAACTGGGTTCATTAACAATGGGAAAAACGATTTCACCTGACATCTAAGGAAAAGTCACGTTCTGAGACTCATACCGTCAATCAAAGAATCTCTCCGTATTTAACTATGGAGATAAGTTATTAATATTGAAAAAAGATTTTTCTCTGTCTCAAGTCTTGAAGAACTAACAGTCGCACTGTGACAGAAGTTAAGGACTATATGAGAGGAAGAAATAGTCCGTTAATTTAACACACAAATATAGCTAATGGAGAAAATTACCACTGGTCAGTGTCTCGGCATCTTTTTTACGTTTTGTGCATAAATGCCATTCTTTGATTTGAAAAAAAAGTTCTAATGGATTTTAAATCTTGTGTTCACAGCTTGCTTTCATTCAACATCGTAATTACATTAAATAAGCAACAGATGTTTTGAGGATGGCATCCCCTGTCTTCTACGGCGAAATGTTAGCTTTTATTAAAGAACTTATCAGCGTTAATTAGCAATTCTTGGATGTAACTTATTTATTTTAATTACCATAAGATGAAAATCCAGATAGAGTTGAAGTTATCTCGGATCATCTGGCTGTTAGAGTCTCTCTTGAAAGGTAAGAAAATTCCAGCATCTCGAAATAGATTCGCAAATTCTCTTCGATCACTGGATCCAATATTTTATTTCCGTCTTCAAAGTGTTGTCGTTTGTCCTTTTGTCGAATCAGTTTCAGACTAAACACAAAAATGTCTTAATTAGTTAAAGACAATCTATCTAACTGAGAAAGAAAACATGAAATAAATTGGTTTTGTTTGACTGACTTATAGAAAGGGGGGTGGGGGTAGTAAAAAGCACATGTCTGCAGAGTCAGCCAGGTCCACTTTAAAAAAAATGATCTGTATTGCAAATTAAAAAAAAGTGTGAACATCGGTATACTTATGTCTTGCGAAATCTGCTGATAATAGAAATGCTGCGATTTAATCTAAGAAATAATAAATGTTCTAATGATTTTTTGTGTATTAGAGTAATCAATAAGTTGCGTCTTTAATTACCAAATTATACTATAATAGTGTGGGAGTATTCTATTTTCTTCTTTCACAATTAATATCGAGTCCTTTTCCCAGGAGGTGGCAAGTTTTATAAAATTTTCTCAATTGAGAAATTCCTCGGAATTCACCATCCTCCCAGAATATCTGAATTCTGTTGCGAATTCTCCAACTTTGATACAAAAATCGGGATCGATGACATTCTGGAACAAACAATTATAGTCAATATTCTAGTATTAATTAAACTTCAAAGCTGACTGAGGAGAAACCGCATTCTTTTTAGAGGTTACTAACAACACTTTTAAAGTATATATAAACATGTTTAAGGACTGAAATTATAGGTGTTGTATGTTTCTACTGTACTGAAATTGTATGAGATATCAACTACCCCCCCCCCCCCGAAAAAAACCCCCAGATTTCTCCAAAATACTTGACGGCATTGTGTACAAAGATAAATTTCAAAAAACAGATTTTGAGAGTGCTAAAAACGTCTCATCTTTTTGGTAGGAATTCTAATTCATTTTTTTTTTCTTTTTGTATTTTTGGAAAATTAGTTCCTACTGATATTTTGTCACAAAAGATAAAGGAATGATTCAGCTTCATATTATAATACATTGAGCATCTACTTCATGGTGAAAAAAAAATATATTTTTTCTTATGTAACAAATTAAACAACAATAATTTTATTTGGTTAGCTTTTAAAATAGACTACTTTTTTTCAAGAATGAAGATTTTTTAAAACTAAATCCTAAACTTATTTCATTTGATCTCAGATCAAGGTGGATCAACGTCAAATTCCTTAAAAAAAAAAAGATATGAACAGTTCGTCTGTTTTGAGTTTATGTCATGTCATTTCAGCTAAATTAATATTGTTTCTTTTCTTTATCAACAGAAAAAAATCTTTTTTTTGTAATTTTTGAATTCCAAATAGAACTTCCTTCTTTAAAGATAACAATTGTTGACTCCCCTTTCCCAAAGCATCCTTTACTTAATACAATGAATTATTTTTCAATTGGCAAAACTCATGAAATAACATCACAATGTTATTAATTAAATGGCGTGTTTTAACAGAAATTTTTGCTTTTTAATGGTATACACTGTTTACATACGTACTGGTCTGTTTTGTAAGTTTTAACAAACTTAAATGTGGTGAATAAAGTCTGATATAGTTTAATGTATCCTATATGTGTGGAGTAAAAATGTTTATGAATAACTCACTTCCGTAGATTACTAAAGCACACTTGAGATTTTATAGGTTATCGCCAAAATGTGCTCGATGATTTATCTTAATCAAGTTGAATGGCCCTTTTTATTTATCGCAATCAAATAAATTTTGTGGTTTCCATAACCAACCGAATTTATACATAGCAATGCATTGTGAGCAGTTGTAAAAACAAAACCCATTATATTTTGTTGCTTCAATTAAATGAGTAAAACCAGACAATGAAACGAAGAAAGACGTCGAAGTATGCAGAGCTGTAGGACAATACCGAGGTAGACTCATAAGAAAAGGGGGAATCGATATGTGATTGACAGAATATCTTTTAATCAGTGCTTGTCTAAGGAACGGTCTGTTAGATCATGGGCCTGTTATTTCATTTCTCGCCATTTGAGCAGATAATGGTGGCAATCTGCTTTTCTTCAATAGTCTATAGTTATGGGGAGTGAATGTCAATGGACACTCATAGATTTATAGCAAGTTTACGTAAATCAAAGGAAATCTTTAAGTTAGCGGGTAACACTTACAAAATGAAATATACAAAGTCTGAAGAAAACGTGTAAACAAGGAAGAGCCAATTTGCACCTTTAAAGCTTCAGTGCCGAGATCAATTTGACATACAGCACGTAAAAACTTTTTTTAACGACCTGCGTCTTTCTCGATTAATTATAAAAAAAAAATCCTAGATTACTAAAAGTTACCAACTACTAGCAGTATTGGATCTTGTTGAAGCAGTTCAATACGATTAAACAAAAGGTACTCGTATCCATTCTGTCACAAGTTATTACCGACTAATAAATAAAACATAATTTTATGCAAATTCATTTTAAACTTCGATGATGAATTTTTATTGCAGACAGACACACCAATGCTTATAAATGAAAATATATTTTGCCGATTAACTGGTTGAATTAAGTTATCGAAATTTGATTTATTATTTATCTAGAAGAATATTTAAATTTTCTAATAAGTTCAATAAAATGTTGAAAAAAAAACATAAAATCAATATTTTTCATAATTGTTTTTCTATGAATATTCAATTCAATCTTAATTTTTGCTGAAGTGTCTATAAAACTGTATGTACAGCAAAATGACAGATGATTTCAATACAGTGACTTTGCTATTGCAGCCATATAACGGAATTATAGACGTAAACACCAGCTGGTTTCAATGATTTCACTTTGAAAAAATTACGCACTTTGAAATTTTTTTTCAAAGTGCGTTAAAATTGGGACAAAATTAACGCACTTTGAAAAAAAATTCAAAGTGTGTTAAATTTGGGACAAAATCAACGCACTTTGAATTTTTTATTCAAAGTGCGTGGAGAGTGTACATCCACAATTTTTACCATGGTCAGGAGACACTTAAAGCACTTTGAAAAAAAATATGAAAAAACAAAAATTCTGGACTTAGATTTTAGTAATAGACGGCATTATTTTGTTATATTTTTTCGAAAAACTAATGAATTGATTTTCCTTCATCGAGAACGAGGAGAAGACAGGTAGAATGTCCCTCAGTCCAACTCTTTATCTTTCCTACTCAAATATATGTTTACATAACTGGTATGCATTGCTATAATTTCTAAATAAATTTGAGTTAACGTAAAATAGATGAAAAAAATGAGATAATCTTTCGTAAAAAAAAAAAAACAAACAAAACAAAAAAAAAACAAAAACAAAAAAAACGCAACCTATTACATTACATAAGAGAGGATCAGATGCCATATCGCTGATCTAAGCAACAATAGCCAACTGACTATACTTCGGCCAAAGTAGTTTTACAAAATCAAATATAAATCCTAACCAAAAGTCATATAGTAAATTGGCAAAATACAATTGTATAACAACAAAGTTTTCTACTATCAAATGCCTTATACAATGCGTAAACATGTAGACACTTATTGCTTGTCATTTTGATAAACAATCACGATCCCAATCGGATAGATATTTATTACCGTCTTCCTTGGAAGACGGTATACAGAGTTGAAGTATTTAACAGTCTTCGGACTATGCCTTTCCTCCCTTTTGTGATTGGCAGAAATTGCATGATGAGAAAATTTGCCATTATTTCATTGGCTGAAATGCTGTTCAAGGCAAGGGAGATAATTTTCTGATGATCTAATTTTCGTATGACTTAACAATTTTTCAAGATTTTCAATCGTAAAAAAATATGACAAAAAGAACAGTGGAAATTGGAACTATTTAATTCGATTTAACATGATAGTTTTTTTTATAGCAATTACCAAAAAACGTTTCTATATTTTCATTGTTAACAGAATTGATCTTTATTGCATGCAAGCTTTACAACTTGTATGTATTCTTTTTCCCTCTCTTCTGCACTGTCTTCCTAATCTCGGCAGCACTCGGCAACACCTAGGCCGATTCGTACCTCATCTACATATCACAAAGGTGACGGAATCAGCCGAGGTTTGCCGAATGATCTCAGCAGCAGAGTCCAAGTTTACGGAGACAGCCGAGCATCTGTTAACGTTTCACTTGGTAGAGCTTATGTCAGAAAAAAACTAATGAAGAAATACAGAGCCAAGAAATTTTCAAGAATTATACGGCCTGATAGGTTTAGGTCAGTTTACTGTTTAAGGTTGTTGCTAAAGACGGTAAGCTTTTTGAAAAAGCTCTACTTGTGTTATTTTAACCACGAACAGGGTCTTTGATCTGAACTTACATTTGAAAGGGTAAAAATAGTTCAATATGAGTGTCAAATTTGCGGACTTAAATTCATACCACGGTTCAAAAGTTATACAGCTAAATATTTAAGTTTGAACAGACAGAAGGACAGAATGGACAGAAACATAATGTCTCCCAATCTTCGTATTCGTACACTTGATATTCATACTCTAAATTGAGTAATTAATAGTAGATAATTAATACATTTATTTATGTCGACCCGAGCGAATTCGGGCGACAAACTACCTATAATGTTCTCGCAGATGGCCGGGACAATCTTCATAAAATCTCACAGAAATTATAATCACCAACTGTGGTTGTGCTTTCCACATTTTAAAATTTCCAAATGGCCCCAGCCCAAATATGCAAAATTTTCAGTTTCATAATTCTCAGTTACTGCCTATCCAATCTTTTTGAAACTTTAAAGAATTCTTTTCTTCCATCACGTCAAAGTGGTTTCTGCCAAAAAAAAGGGGGGGGGGATGGACAAAGTTTGTTGCTGTAACCAAGTTAAAACAAATACGTTTTAGAAATTTATTTTAAGTCCTTGGATTTTTAAAGATATAGCAAAGTTGAGGTCAAGGTCACCTGACTCTCACCTTGTGAAATACTGTACTGACTTTTTGTGTATATACATGTATTGACATATTATATATGAAAAGGAAACTTGAAGCATTGAAGTGACGCCATTGGGGTCAGTTCGGGAGATATCTGCTATTGTTTACATAGGGAAAATTTTCAGTTGTTATTCATATTCGTAAAATTTCGATTTACAATATGTATATGCGAAATATGGTTGTTTATAATCGAGAAATTTATATTCATTTCGATAAATTTGAGACTGATATGCAATAAAGTGTGATTTATATGCGAAAATGTTGATTCATATTCGAAAACATCTTACCTTTTTAATTAGATTTTATGCAAAAACCTTTGATTCATGCAAGATAATCTTGTGAATTTTGTACTGTAATCTATTGATTTCACATATAATTATAAAACCCAATACGAATCAAGTTTTTGCATATAGCCAACTTTTTTGAATATGGCTTTTTGCATACAACCACAAGATTGTCAATTATAAATCACAAGGTTATCAAATATGAATCAAATTTTTTTGTATAAGGATTCAAAATAAGTTTTTAAAAGCAAGCTAATATTCTTCAACACAATCTTTTTATCTAAATATGTACATGTATTTTCTTGTTTTGCTTCACATTTCCTGTTGTCTAGAGAACTAATGAGATTAACCACTGTTTGTTATATTTACCTTTTTCATGAAATGTGTATATTTTTTTAATTCACTTGTTCGCGAATTCTAAAAGCAAAAACAATTATATGAGTATAGGAACACATGCATCACTTTTTGTTCAGTTGAGGCTGCCATAAATATCCTTTAAAATTAATTGTAATAACGATCTCTTCCGTTTTGTTATTGTATTATTGTATAATATTAACTCTCTTTCAAAACATAGGTAATCAGAGATTACAGAGCTCACTTCAACGAATTTGGTCTTTAAGTAAGGCAAAGTCCCCCACTAAACAATAATCTAGTAGTGTGCATCCCTAGATGCAACATTTATGCAGTTTTGGTCTGACAGGGCTTGTCGTTAATTAGGAATGGGCTTACCTAAAAACTTTAAACTAGTCACTCATCCAGACAGTGTAAGTCATATCCAGCATCTGAAGCAAATATAAGAGTGTTCATCCCGTGATACATCATCCATGCAAGTTTGGTTCAGATAGCCTTATAGTTTCTTGGTAATGGACCTGCTCCAAAAACTTTAACGTGGTCACTCATCCGGAAAATGAAGGTCAGATCCAGCATCCGAAGCAAGTCCCGTAGTGCGCATCCTTCGATTTATCATCCATGCAAGTTTGGTCAACATAGGACTTGTAGTTACTTGGAAATAAGATCTGCTCCAAAAACTTTATGCTGGTCACTCATCTGGAAAATTTAGGTCAGATCCAGCATCCAAAGCAACTCCAGTAGTTCCATCCTTAAGTGTACCCTCCATGCAAGCTTGGCCAACATATGGCTTATAGTTACTTAAAAATGAGATCTGCCGTAAAAACTTAAACCTGATCACTCATCTGCAAAAATGTAGGTCTGATCAAGCATCCGAAGCAAGTCTGGTAGTGTGCTTCCTTAGATGTATCATCAATGCAAGTTTGGTCAAATAGGGCTTATAGTTACTTGAAAATGAGATCTTTTCCAAAAAATTTAACCTGGTAACTCTGCATGATAATGTAGGTCAGAACCAGCATCCGATGCAAGTCCAGAAGTATGCATCCTTAGATGTACCATCCGTGCAAGGCTGGTCAACAGAGGGCTCATAGTTACTTGGAAATGAGACCTGCTCCAAAAACATTAACCTGGTCACTCATCTGGAAAATGTAAGTCAGATCCAGCATCCGAAGCAAGTCCAGTAGTTCCATCCTTAGATGTACCATCCATGCAAGTTTGGTCAATATAGGGCTTATAGTTACTTGGAAATAAGACATGCTACAAAAACTTTAACCTGGTAACTCATCCGGAAAATGTAGGTCAGATCCAGCATTGGAAGCAAGCCTGGTAGTGTGCATGTAGATGTATCATCCGTGCAAGTTTGGTCAATATAGGGCTTACAGTTACTTTGAAATGAGATCTGCTCCAAAAACTTTAACCTGCTCAAAAAACATTATCCTGGTCATTCTTTAGCTGAAATTGCAGCATCATAAACCTTGACCGGTACAATGAAACACACAAGCATCTTCCATGCATCCTTGATTAATGTAGGGCATAGAAGTACTTAAAATGAAAACTGCTCCAAAAACTGGGACGCCGACGCCGAGGGTATCACATAAGCCCCCCCCCCCCCCCCCCAACTTCGTTGAGGTGAGCTTAAAACCTGTCAGTACTTGAGAGAATAATTGAGTGTACTAATTTAGATCATTGAACATTGATCCATATTTAACTGTCGTAGGAAGAAAAGAAACAAAATGACCAAATTCTAGATGAATGCCTTCGGTATGCCATTGAATTTTATAATTCACATTAGTTATCGCTGTCTTCTCCTAGTTTATAAGTATTGACATTTGATGTTTTCTTCTAAAACTATCAAGCTTAACTCAATCGCAGCAGCGTACCCCGAACGAATTTGCAATGACAATACTGCGAATTCTAGAAAATAAATTCCCAAGGTGGTCGTAAAACTCGATCTCTATCATCATTCATTTAACAGAAAAACTACAAATAAAAGCTTTCTTCATAATATCTTCCCTGCCGTATGAACAAGAGTTGTATTAAATTTCACCTACTAAATACTCCTCCCTTGTGCCCTGAATGATGACGAAGTGTGAATGCTCTCGACACGTGCAAGAAGTAGAAGTCAAAAGCGATCAATTTCTAAAATTCCGGAATATTTCTTCGGTCAGTAGGCCTCTTACCAATGTAATAAACATGCACTGGTGTTGCGATACTTCAGTAGTGGTAAAAAGTCGTATTAATGGTAAATTATTGAATACATCTTGAGCAAAAAATGATATGAATGATAAATTACATGTAGTAGAGACATCTTAAACAAAATATAGTTACTGTATCATCTCATTGCATTAATTAAACTGAACGAAACAATTTTCTTAGCCGTTCTACCAAATATCTTGCGGTAGTCTTTTGTTTATATGCAGTTACATTTTTATATTTTAATAGCCTAACATTTGTCCAGTCATATGTCAAATTTATTCTTTAGGAATTTTTTTTTATACAATGAAAATAAAATTTGCAGTGCATCACTATCGACAACACAGCCGAGATTTTGCTATCGACGTTTGCTGGATGTTTTCTGAGAAAAGAAACATTTTAAACTAAAATCACTCTTCATGATTTCACAAACTGCACATCAAATTTTCTCATTTTAAATCAAACACATACTGATGTAGAAGACCTATACGTGTTAACAAATTAAAATAAATGAAAGCCTTCTACATTGAAAGGAGAGTCAATAACACGTGTTTTATGAGAAATATTTCACAATAAATAGACCGCCAAAATATTTATTTAGTTATGAAGTGCCATAGTCTGGTAATTTGTCGACAAATCAAATACTTCATAAATTTCCCCTCAATTAAGAGCTTATTTCTCGATACAAGGACGGGGAATATTCTGTAAAGTACATTGATTTTCCTTCTTTAGAATTGTTTCTCGAGTACAGATTATAGAAGTTTTAGTCCTTGTAAATCTTTCGTTTTATTTGATGTATTCTTAGTTTTGATATTTTTCCTCTATTCGTTTTTCTGTTATCCTCTAACCCTCTGAAACCTCTTTAAGATTCGATAATTGAAGACTACAACAAATCTGACGATAGCGTGTCTTTCAATCTCGTGTAAAAAGGTGGACAGCGTTTCTGTCATATTTGTATGGGAAGCAAAGTATAAAAAAAGGCTGTCTAGTAGCAGCTGATTCCTTTATTCGAATAAAAAAGAGTCTTCGTGCTTTTAATATTATCAGAAATTCGCTAAGGACCCTTGTAATAAAATGAACGCTTTACGTTACAGGTTCCAGTGAAATATGTAATTTTGTTAATATCCAAGCTTTCGTGCAAATTGTATGGTACTCCCTCAATTTTATGCTTTGCCACGACTGGCGAAAGCATCTTCTCTAATGATCAATTTTATAATGGGACAATCAGAGTTATTGCTGCACTAAGATTTTCATGATCAAAGCGTTCTTTCTTTGACAAATTATAGCTTTTAACAAAAGCCCATTGATCAAGTCCTATAAATTACTTCTTGACTAAACTTCAAAAATAAAGGAAAACAAGGCACTTATCAGCTGCTTATATGTCTTAATATCTCGATTTCTCTTTGAATCAAGACCTTTTTAATATCTGCGAAAAGCTGGAAAACATTGACCAATATAAAATGATTCCCAAAGAAAAAAATTTAAAAGGTCAGTGGGATGAAAACACACAAAAAGGAGAACAAAACTTAATATATTAGTGTGATATGTGGTTTCATATTTGTTTGTATCTCATTTTATTCTATGATTGATGTTGTATATAAGTACAATTGGAACATATATTCACCGTACAAATTGACCGACTTATATGTTTTAATTTACGTTCAACATATGTTTAACATATGAACTTTTAGAGTATGCTTACCATATACATGTATTTCAAACATATTGAAACCTATGTTGTACCGATATCAAACATGTGTTAAATGTATGCTGAATATGCATGAGACACATACATGTATTTAACACAGTTTTTTTTTTAAACTGTTTGTTTTAAAGTAAACATAAGTAGAAATGCTTTACATTTCTTATATAAAGTGCTATTTTGATGGTTCACATGTACATCGCAACATTTTATATATTGTAAATACTTTGTAATTTCAACAGTTATATCTGTTAGACTAGCTCTGTGGTTCATTTTCTCAGTTAAACTATATAAAAATGTTTACATGTCTATCTAAAACTTTCACAGGAATATAGATATTTTCTTTATAAACTGTTCATCTCTTTCTTTCAGTAGTCCTGTTTGCGTTACAGGACGTGTCGGTGTACACGCAACCAACATTTGAAAACACTTCGGATGTCACCGCCATTGCTGGTAGAAATATTGAACTCAGATGTAGAGTACACAATCTTCAGAACTACACGGTGAGCTTTGGTAATACCTATTTAATTCACAGTAAATTCACTTGCAAAGACGTTTTCAAATTATGTTTTTTTTTCTTATTTCAACTAAGGCCCAGATGCAGTGTGGTGTGTAAAAATTGTCTATCCGAATTCTTAAATTTGAAATCTGCACTCATTACTATGAAGGCAGTCACAATAAAAGTATATTTCTATAGATTATGAAGGAATTGTTTATATCAAATGACTGCAGAAAGAAACAGATTCAATCCTGTAAAATCAGTCTTGTAGGCTTTATTCGAATTTCCTTGTCTAGGTCCCTTGGTGATTTCTTCATAAAGAAGCTACTGTACGATTGATGTTATTCATGAAAAAATAACCGTATTTTATACATTAGGGCAATGTACTTAAAAACTTAAATAAATGAAGCACTCAACGAATAAATTTGCAGCCTTTCCTCTTTCATAAAGAAATATATAATTGGACTGTTTATTAAGACTAATAACACCAACGCGAATAAGACACATTTCCGTTTTATGGTTATTTTGGAAATTACTTATTCTGAGGCTTAATATTCAAATCAAGTACGAAGATATACCGGTATATCGATTACAGTGGCGACTTCAGACAATGCCTCCTAACATTTCATAAGTACGTACACTTTATTATTGGAAAGCTGGAAAATACTTCTTTGAAATCTAATTGTTGCCCTTTCTTGGTCACTGTGTTAAAGTAAAGGCTTCAACAATATCGCAAAGAAATCTGTACTCTGAGAGAAGAAAGGATGATTAATGATTTTATTGAAACGTCGACAGTTTTTTTTTTCAGTTGATATTTGTGAAGAAAAGTGTTAGGGAAATCGAAATGTTCTGCCGAATTAGGGGATCACTGAAGATACATCTAAAGAAACCACACACACACAAAAAAAAAAAACAAGCAACTCAGATTATTGGAAAGAATTTTAAGGAAAAATACCAATGCTTCAGCAACATTAAACTAATGAGGGCGATTTAGGGCTGTTAATGATTTATGTACTAAAATTGGTTTATAATCAAATGAGGCGATAGTCCTTTTACGCATGCGTTTTGTATTTTTTCTCTCTCTCTCTGTTCAAGACTACAATCTCATAAATTTTGTCAAACATAATGTTCTCATCAGTTATCGAATTGTGCGATGAATTTCAATACCTGTAACAAAAATAAACTATAAAGATCAATTTTAAAATATTAAAGTACTTTATATACTAGTACATGTAATGTAAATGTATAAATGTAATAACTCAATTTACATGAAAAAATGACATTTTAGCTCCATACGTAACTATTACAGGAGAAAAAAAAATTTCTGAACTGTGGAAATTCTCTCAAATAAAATTAAAAATAGAAAACAATTGTTATTATCAGGTATTCATTAAAAGCTATATAAAAGGAAATAGCTCTTCAATTCACTAAAAAAAAGTACTGAAAGCTTGAAATATTGTTAAATGTCTCTAAATTTTATGCGTGAAAATGTTATCAGTATGTTGATTTCTTTAATTTAGGTTGTTTGGATGAGTCCAAGGGGGACTGTGATCAGTAAAGACGTCACAAAGGTCACAGATGATACCAGAATTAGCATAGAGAGACAAGTAACAGCGGACTGGAATATCCTGATACGCAATGTTACATTCAAAGACAGAGGCAATTATAGCTGCATTGTCAACACAGCCCCTACTCCGACTATAAAATACATCTATTTATATGTCAATGGTAAGTAATACGAAGAAAGAATATATAATTTATAGACAGTAACTCAAATTTTAAGCAAACATACTCCAAAAATATGGGGGGGGGGGGGGGGGTTCGGGGATACTGATATCTATAAATCACTTTTTGGAATGCAATATCAATCATAGATTTTTTGGCTATTGTAGTACCGCCAAAAATAATTGAGGAAGCTTCTTCGAGGTCCTTGATGCATGTAAGAGAGGGCGAAACAGTTAAGCTTGTCTGTAATGCTACAGGGTACCCTCAACCTAGGATCCACTGGTACCGTGGCAGAAAAATAAATGGTAACAGTAACAAAGATAAAAAGGAAATAGTTCAGTTATTTGTAAATAAACAAATAAATCCTGACAGCTTTGAGATCGAACGAATAAAAATTTTAGAAAGATTTTTAAGTTTGCAACTTCACGCTGAGCTTTGATAAAATCATCACCATTTTAGATAATCTGATTAAAGTTTGTCCAGCGCATGTTTAATTCAATATCAAATACTGGCCACAATACAAGTCCACAGTTTACCAAGAAATATGGTAAAATTCATTAAAAAATCTGTTTTCTTCATTTTATAATGATAAAAAATATTTTGATAAAATAGAATTAGATGAACCATTTAATTTGATATATTTTTTTATACAAAGAGTTTTTTTCCTTCATCGAGTCTTTGGCGAGGGAAGGGTGTGGGAAAAGTAATGGTTTATAGAGCTCACGTAAACGAATGTTATCTTTACGTAAGGCAAAGTTCCACACTAAACTAATATTCTAGTTGTGTACATACCTAGATACGATATTTTTGTAATTTTGATCCAGGTAGGGCTTGCATTAACTTAGGAATGGAATTGTTATAAAAACTTGAAATTGGTCACTCATTCAGAAAACGAGGGTCAGATCAAGCATACAAAGCAAATCTGTGCATCCCTTGATGCATCATCCATTTGCTTGGTTCAGGTAGGCCTTATAGTTACTGCTCCACAACCTTTAAGTTCGTCACTGATCCAGAAAATTTAGGTTAAATCTAGCATTTAAAGCATGTCTGGTAGTGTGCATCCCAAGATGCAACATCCATGCACTTTTAGTGCAGATAGGGCTTGGAGTGAAAAGACCATTCTCCAAAAACTTTAAGATGGTCACTCATCCAGAAAATGTAGGTCAAATCAAACATCTTAATCATGTCCGATAGTGTACAATTCCATACAAGTGTGGCCCAGGTTGGGCTTGCAGTTGCACTAGATTAAGCTTGCTCCAAAAACTTAAACATGGTCACTCATCTGGATTGAGCTTGCTCCTAAAAACTTTAACATGGTTAATATCTGGAAAATGTAGGTCAAGCCCAGCAATTCTTGTAGCGTGCATCCCTTGATGCACTATCCACTACAAGTTTGGTTCAGGTAGGCCGAAAAGTTTCTTGGTAATGGACCTGTTTCCATCGTCGGAACCCACGGTTTTCTCTCCGTTACACTACATTCAACGTGGATTCCGACGATGACCTGCTACAAAAATTTTAACCATTGTCACTCATCCTAAGAATGTAAGTTAAATCCAGCATTTGAAGCAAGTCTGGTAGTGGGCATCCTTAGATGTATCATCCTTTTAAGTTTGGTCAACATAGGATTATAGTATTAACTTTAGAATGAACCTGCTCCAAAAACATTAACCTGGTCACTCATCCGGAAAATGTATTTCATATCCAGCATCTGAAACAAGTCTGGTAGAGAACATCTTTTGATGTATCATTGCTGCAAGAATGGTCTATAAGATTTATAGTTACTTGGAAATGAGACCTGCTCCAAAAACTTTGACCTGGTCATTCTTTGGTTGAAAATACAGCATCTGAAACCTGACTGGTACAATAAAACATACTACAAGTATCGTCCATTCATCTCTGATCAATATAGGGTGTAGAAGTGCTTGAAATGAAATCTTCGAAAAAACTTAAACCTGAGACACCAAAGCCGAGGGTATTATATAATTCTCCTACAGTTACATATTTATGGTCCAGTATAATGGTTTTACATCTGGATGAGTGGGTAGACCTACAAGAGGTCCATAGGCCAATACGCCTACCTGCGTCACCTTGGTCTTGCTGATATGAAGAAGGTTTTTTAAACAAAATTTCCTACTTTATCCCAATGAAAACTTTTGACCCCATATTGTGGTCCCATCTTAGCCAAATGGGTTTATAATTAAAATGAATTTGAATCCATACAATATGTGTTTCAATATACATATGAATTTAATGGCCTTGCTGTTCTGGAGAAGAGATTTAAAAAAAAAATATTTTTTTATATGCATTAAGTAAAATTTGATATCCGATTTTAATCATTTTATCCCCCTGCAACACCAGTATCCATAATTTGAAGGAGGAAAAAACTTGAATCCGCACAACTTTGGAATATTTGCATATCGATTAAGATCACATATAAAAAGTTTGATCTCCTATGATTGTGACTCCATCCTACCCCCAGGGGACTTGATTTAAACAAACTTGAATTTACACTATGACAGGAAACTTTCACTTAAGTTCATTTTTCCTGACCCAGTGGTTCTCGAAAGGATTTTTAAATGACCACCAAATTTTCACTATTTCTTAAATATCTCCTCTTGAAAAAGGATGTTGCCCTTCATTTGAGCCAACTTGAATTTCCTTCCCTCAAAGATGTTTTGTGGCAAGCTTGGTTGAATTTGACCCAATTGTTCTGTAGAAGAAGTAGAAAATGTGATTGTACAGATGAACAGACAGACTTTCAGATAAACTAAGGACGACAGGTAATCAGAAAAGCTCACTTAAGCTGATAGCTCAGGTGAGCTAATATTAAAAGCTGCTATCATCTCCATATTTTAAAGAATACTAGTATATTCTGGAAATGGTTAATAGTGTTTCTAATATATGCTGTATGGTTAAACATGCACATGATCCTCGTCTTAAGTAAAGGCCATTTTTCTCATTTTGATGATAGACTAGCTCGGTCTCTGTTGAATATATAGTATATACTTTAAAAGCTGAGGGGACTAATTGAGCTCTTTTATCAGCCGACCTTGTATGCTTATTAAGCAAAAAGTATTCAAAAACTTCTACATGAGAAGAAAACTTTTGCTCTGGCCTTTAATTTGCCATTTAAATATATCGACGACTTTTATCAATTAACAATAGCTACTTTTGTTTACATGTAGTATATGTCAACACGACATATTCCAGTGAACTCGAAATAAAAGCCACCACAGAGTCTGCAACATTTGTTTCATATTTGTTTTTTTCTAACTATAGACATTAACGGCAAACTAACAACTAATCTATATGACAAACAGTGTGACCAGCTTTTTCATCGTCAACCTCCCTATTTTTGTTGACTAATTGATATTACACTTTCACCTGCATATGGTGTCTATGTCTTCAAACACTTTGGTACGCATGTTCCGAGTACGATCAATTTTTTTTTAATTGAGGCAGGCTAGTCAGAAATAAGTTGGTATTACAGGAATTTCTGCAATTTTGTGTAAAGTCAGCATTTTGCAAATTCTATGGTTGTTATAATGACCTTGGTTGCAAATACAACCTATGGATCCTGGGTTGTATTTTGACTGAAATGTTTCATTCAAGTTAGGCCATTATCATTGTAATGACTACGGATTAATCCAATCATCTGATCAAAACAGAGGACTCGAGGCGGTTGTGACGGTCGACAGGGGATGCTTATTCCTCCCACAAGATCCCACCTCTGGTGTTTCTAGAGGTGGGTGAATTAAAAAAAAATGACCAAATGCATATTTATCAACCCACACTAAAAATACAGGCAATGAAAATAGATTTCTATGTCTCAGCATATGTCTTTAGATAGTGTCTAAATACCTGCCAAATATCTCGTTGATATCTCAATTAACAAAAAAGTTATGCCCAAAAATGATGCTAAAATTGTCAGGAGTGCAACACCTTTTTGTGACACTTTGAAATTTCAATATTTTTTGGAGATCTGCGAAATAAAAAATAATGCTTCATGTTGAAATTAAAGACTTTCCTGATAATATTCAAAGTATTGAGCTTTAAATGTGGACTGTCATAACTTTTGTTTAATCAAGTTGTGGTCATGGCTGATGTTTAAAAAAATGTTATACCATGTCAGGAGTGCAACAGAAAAAATGTAGTGTTGCCAAAAAAACATCAATTGTAAAATTCTGATAGAAAATTAAGACAAAAAAGAATTTTGGAAGTGTAAAATAATAACTGATATACATTTTAAAACTTAAAAATGTTATATAAATCACAAGCAGCATTAATGAGAGTCAAGTATATGTGCATACCCCAAAATGTCAGGAGTGCAACATTTGATGTTTTACTCCCAAGCATGAAAAAACTATTATCATTATATGATTTTCTGATTTTTATTTTGGAAAATAAAGACACAAAGAACATTTTTACCAAATAGATTTATCAATTACAGGATCTGTCTGTGCTTCAGATCCATATTTCTGTGGTCAGGAGTGCAACACATTTTTTAAAAGATTCAAGTTGTGTGACGAAAAGACTTCTATTCATGCTTAGAAGTATTCATTAATTAATAATGATCTTTTTGTATAATTTAATGCTAAATTATTGACAGTTTTATTATTAAAATCCTTCCTTTTTTCCATTTTATCAATTCAGATGTGTTTTTATCTTTTTGTGATTTTTTTAATGAATGTTAAAAATAAACACACTAAAACATTGTCATAAAATTCAAGTAATTCCTCCTCAACTTCACTGAAACAACAGAACAAGTTCTTTTGTAATTTTCAATTCACAATTCTACTTTAAAGGCCCCAATGATTTTGGTCAGGAGTGCAACAAATATGTTAGAATTATAAATCATCCACTAAGAATAAAAATAAAGAAAAAATGATGAGTAGAATTTCTCTGGTGGGTTACTGTGTTTGTCTTCTAAAGGAAAATATGCTTTAAAATATATTTTATCTTCTAAATATACATTTAAGCTAGTTTTTGGGCATAAAATAGGGTATAATTCCAGATAAAATGCGAATTTTAAATACTTTCATCTGTTTTAATTATGAAGTATTGGACTATAAGTATTGCACAATTTCACTACCACTTGATGTTGCCAATACTTTATGAATTTTTGTGTTCTATCGTTTTAATTTTAAACTTTACTGCAGTCAGGAGTGCAACAAAACTGCTTCATAATTACGAATGCTTTTTAACTATCTTTACTAAAAAATAAGTTGAAAAAAAATGCTTGATACTATTTGATGTTCAAAACACTATGTCTATCAACAAATTACAGAAATTTTACAGTCAATTCAGGGAATAGTTTTCATCATTTCACATATATTTTAAATACATTTTATATATATTACACTTTGCAAATAATCATGTTTTAAGGTCTTAAAAATTTGAAAAACCTGCTGTAAACGATGAAAAATATCAACATGACAAATTGATTTACAAAGTAAGAATGGGTTATTGTGTGTTATAATTTTTAAAACAATGTTAAATAAAGTACATATCAGATGTCAGGAGTGCAACACAATAATGTAGCATAGGGTCACTTCAAAATCTAGTATTTTTTGTAAGAGAACTCGTATAAAACAATTCTTTTTTGGCTTTGATTTAAAGAATTGACTTGAACGGACAAAAAAGTGAATTTTGGGGAATTTTATTGCTTCATATTTTTTTCATATTAAAACTTTTCAAACCAGAATTGAAAAAATAATGTAAAATAACAATCAAAAAGCCAATTTCTTGTCACATGTACAAGAGAAGATACTCATTCAAGGTCTAGATTTAATCATTTATACCCCTTTTACCATTTTGAAGCATAAAAAACTATAATTTGTTGTGATTATGTATTTTAGAAAGTCTTTTAAGGTGTAATGATATTTTCTTTTTTCAAAAGAAATTTTTCTAATAAAAATTCTGAAACTTTTTAATTCAATTGTCTATTCTATTGCCACTTCAGGATTTTAAACTAGAATGCATTTGCAATATGATGATATAAGTGAAAAATATGTTACAAGTAGTTGAATTTTGCCAAAAAAATTCAGTTTGGTGGTCATTTTTTTTTAATTCACCCAGGTCCGTGTTTTTGCCCTGTTCACGTTTCTTATTGTTTACAAGATTTATGAGATTGATCACTATTCGTTATTTTCACCCTTTCCAGGTAAACTCTTCGAAAATTTTAGAAATTAAAAACTGAACGAGTTAGTAATCACCTAAATAAATAACATTTGGCTCCTTTAAAAAAAACCCAATTTTGAAACATGCAAGATTACTGGTAAATGATTTTTAACTTTACTGTATTTTCTGTCATCTCAAAACAGAAAAAAAAACCCTTTTCTAACCTTGTACCTTATTGTGTTTTATGACCAAGGACATATATATTTGTGTTCCTATAATATTTGTTTTAATTCTTGCCTGGACTCATTTATTTTGTTAAATGTCACCATATACAATAATGGCCAAATTATGTTGGAGACCGTACGTAATCACTTATTTTCACCAGATCTGGATACATAAGGGATATTATAACAAGTTCTGATCTTCGATAGCCATCCTTCAATGACAGAGACCGAGTCAGACATTATCATCTTCACTGCAATCACATTTAATCGGTGTATAGTTTTCTCACTGAACAAAACATATACCTTCTAAAAGCTATCTGCCATAAAACATCATTTACTTAATTGTTTTCATAATTCTCCATTTGTATTGACAATCTTTACTCAAATTATACATATAAGTAATTCTCAGACAAAAAATATCAGTTATCATACTGTTATAGGGGATAGCGTATACCATCGAGCAAGATGACTCGCGATATAAAAATGTTCTTCTCAGAGAAATAAATATGTCTTTTCAAAAAGAACCATTTAGAATCTCAATTGGCAACTCCCTCATGAAATTCTTTTTATTGAATTGATCTAAGCGTTGTATGTACACATTTCTGTCCTGTAAAAGGAATATTGGAAAATGAAATGATTGAGACAAGACTTCTAGCATCTTTAAAAACGTAGTACGTGCACTATATGTAAAAGCATTGGTTCGATTTCTTCAGTTGTGGTGCAACATGTCGTTACTTTTCTTGTTTTATTTTTTCCTGAAAGGTAATAAACAGGAATATAAATCGGGATACAAGTCCAGGAAATAGAAACTGAAGTAATTCTAAACAGGCAACTTCAATAT